GTCCGTCCATAGAAGGCGGATCCTGTGATCGACGTCCGGGGAATTCGTCAGCTGGAGGTGGCATGTAGATGGCCAACTTCGATGCATGGAAGACCCGATGCACTGTTAGGTGCGGTGGAATGTTGATCACGAAGGAAGGACCGACGGGGTCGTCTCCGACGGCAGAAGTGACTTCCCATGGTCCAAACCATTTCGGAAGGAGTTTGCGCGAAACATCCTGCTCGAGCGCAAATTCCTCGGAGAGGACCCAAACAAGGTCTCCCTAGCGGAAAGGACGTGGAAGTCGACGTCGGTTAGCTTGCTGCTGCATGCGGACCTGAGCCTTTTGCATATTCGCGCGGGCTTTGATCAGCAAGTCCCGATACTTTCTGACATAAGCGGGAGAGCAAGGGACGTCTATGTCGGCAGCCTGTGGCAAAAGGAGATCAGCGAAGATCCGTGCTTTCTCTCCACCATGATGTAGCTCGAATGGTGTGACGCAGATCGCCGGGTGCACCGAAGTGTTGTAGGCGAACTCGATGTTGGGAAGACGGTCAACCCAATCTTTCTGGTCGGGACGGATGAGCGTACGCAACATCATCTGAGCGGTCTGGTGCGCTCGCTCCGTCTGACCATCCGTCTGCGGGTGCCGAGCCGAGCTCGGCTTCATTGTCGTGCCGGACTCAGTCATGAGAGAAGTCCAAAAGGCTGACATGAAGCGAGTGTCTCGGTCGCTCACTATGTCTTCCGGAACACCTTGGTTGGTAATCCAACCGGTGTGCAAGAGTCGTGCGAGCTCAGGCGCTGCAGCATGATACTTGCAAGGAAGAAAGCGAGCATACTTACTCAAACGATCAACGACCGTGAGAATACCGTCATGGCCGTGGCGATCGCGGGGAAACGGGCCTGTCACGTCCATAGCAATGGAGAGGCGTGGTGCCCGAGGAATCGACAACGGTTTCAGTTCGCCGAAGGGGACTCGAGATCGACCCTTGTTACGGTGGCAAACTGCACATGACTCAATGTACCTCGTGACGTCATGAAGGACGTCGGGCCAGTGAAAATGCTGGCGGAGGCATGCGAGTGTGCGGTTCACGCCAAGGTGTGCCGAAAGTCGTGCATCGTGGAATTCGCCGAGAAGACGAGTCCGTAAGATACGATCTTGGGGCACCACTAACAAGTCCTTTCCTCTCGTGTGAAGGAGAAGGAACCCGTCGGAGATCCGATAATGGCTAGCCGGCGGGTGATCCGATGAAAGCTCTGCGTAAAGCGTAGAGTAAGTCGGATCGGACTACTCCTTTGACGAAATGCTGCTGCAGATCGTCATCGAGGTCGAATGCCGTGGTCACAATGGCACAAAAGTCGGGCCGTCGTGAGAGGGCGTCCGCAGCTCGATTGGCGGGACCGGGAATGTGACACGGGTCAAAATCGAACTGGTCGATGTAATACATCCATCGACCGATCGTCTAGTGACCGTGTCCTGCGTTTTGTAAAATGTCAACGGATTGTTATCTGTATTCCATTTAAAACGCCGATGGCCGAGAAGAAAGTGGCGCCACYGTTTGAGGACGGTGACGAACCCGAGTAGCTCTTTCTTCCTAGCGTCATCAAGAGTGTTGACGAGAGGCACCTTCTGGGAGAAGTACTCAACCGGATGCCAACCGTCCTCGTGACACTGTTCCAACACCGCACCAATACCGTATCCCGAAGCGTCCGTAGTCACTTGGGTGGGTAGGGTGGGGTCATATATACGGAGGGCAGGTGCGGCTTGCATCTGCCTTCAACGTACTGAACGCGCCACGGGCTGCGTCGTCGAACTCGAAGGGCACCTTCGGGGACTGAAGTCTTGACAAAGGAGCGGCCACTTTCGAGTATGACTCGACGAATCGCTGATAATATCTAGCCAAACCCATGAAAGAGCGTACATCCGTAGTGCAACGGGGTTCCGGCCAATCCACGATGGCTTGGATCTTGTGCTAAGGGACGAATGCCTTTCGGCGTGATAAAATGGCCCAAGTACTCAAGCTCTTGCCTGGCGAATTCGCACTTGTCGAGATTCGCTTTGTACTTGGCTAGTCGCAAACGATTCAAAACAACGCGAAGGTGTACRATGTGCTCGTCCAACGTCCTACTATAAACCAAGATAACATCAAGGTAGATGAGGACGCTGCGATCGAGCAAGTCGCGAAACTCAGTCGTCATTGCTGCTTGAAACGTTGCAGGGGCATTGGTGAGGCCAAATGGCATGACCACCCACTCAAAATGCCCATACCGCGTCTTGAACATGGTCTTGTACCGGTCTTGAGGCTGGATTTCAATCTGGTGGTAACCTGACTTGAAATCCAACTTCGAGAAGTACGTCGCGCCGCCTAACCGCTCAAGGAGATCATCAATCCGAGGGAGAGGGCCGGCGTTCTTTACGGTTTGTGCGTTAAGTTTCCGATAGTCGATGCAGAACCGTAGATCTTTGTTCTTCTTCCGGACGAAGAGAACAGGTGCTCCGTATGGCGAGCAACTAGGGCGAATCCAGCCCTTGTCGAGAAGATCATCGAGTTGTGCGCGAAGCACCTCGAGTTCCTCTTCGCTCATGCGGTAGATACATCCACGCGGAGGGACGGCGCCAGCCTCGAGAGTGATCCCGTGAC